GGCAGCCTCCAGGCTGGCGACCCTGATTGCTGCCGACGCGCTGGGGTCTGGCTCCCTCTGGGCCCCCACTGCCCGGGGGCCGCGCTGGGTACCCTTCCCGCCCCCGCAGGGGCCACGGCTCGGGTGAAAGGCGTCGGCTTTGCCCAGCCCCTCGGCCCCATGCAGCCTTTCAGCATCCCCGTTCAGATCACGCTCCAAGGCGGCCGGAGGCTCCAGGGCAGGTAAGTCCCCTCTGGTCCCGCAGCCTCCGCTGGGCCGCTTCTCCAGCAAGTGCCCCGCCGGCTGCAACTTGGCTCCTTGGCTTTGCCCCTGTGCTTTCTAAACGCTTGGCATCCCGGGCCTTTATAGAAATCACCACTAGGGTCCTGCCCTGCTCCTGACGCCGTGTGCGTCTCAACGTAAGGTGGGTGGTTCGAAACCACCAGCTGTTCTGCTGGAGAAAGAGGAGGCTGGACCCCTAAAGATTTGCAGCCTACCAAGGGCTCAAGTCGAAAGAAACGGCTTTGAAAAGGGCGAGGACAACATATGTACAAATGTGCTGGATTCAATGGCTGGATGGATGATTATAAAATCTTTTAGTGCCCGCCAATAAAATGATTTATTTTTTAAAAATTTGTGCAGCCTAGACTATGAGTTGGAATGGACGATTGTGGGATATTTTGTTAAGAGCGCTAGTGTTGCACCGGGTAAGTGCGGGCTGCTACCTCCAGGGTCAGTGGTTGGGTGGCAACTTGCTTCCTTCGATTTGCAGCTTGGAAACCCGACAGGGCAACCTACAGGATCCACTGAGCAGCGGGGGGTGGGGGGCTGGGGGGTTGCTTTGTATCCTCAGCATGGGCCTTCTGGCAGCGTCTGCTTAATAAAGTCTTTCTTTTAAATAAAGTATTTCTTGAGGGAATGAAGGAATGGGGAGATTATCACTGGTCCTAGTGGTGAAGCTCGCTTTGGCCGGCCAGTCACCAGATCTGGATTCAGACCCTGTTCCACAAGTCGTGTGACTCTGGGCAAGCCACTTCATCTCTGCCTCCTCCCCATCTCTGTGCCCTGGGGAGAGCAATCGTTCCCACACGGCCTTGGCGGAAGAGGAAAGGAACCCCATCTAGAAATCGTTACAGTTGCTAGCCCATTATCAGCTCACCAAACTTCAGCTATTGCCTATTCCATGAGAGTGAGGGCGCCAGGCTGTTTTAGAGGTCTCTTTCACTTCCCTCTTTCTAGCTGGAAACTGGGGAGATTTGTTGGTGCCTTAAGTGGAGCTGGAAGCCAAGAAAGCAGAAGCATTAAAGATCATAAGGGCGGCCACATCTGCCACTTCCGCGCCTCTTCCACTCTGTTTGCGGAGGATGGAGGAAAGGAACTGAGGGCGGAGAGTGAGATACAGCGACTTGCGTGGGGTGCTGAGTGGCCCTGGGCGTTTGTTCAGGTCACTCCCAAAGAGACTGAGGTTTGGAGCCCACCCTACAGCCCCGTGGAGGAAGACTTGGTACTCGACTCCCATAAAGCAAACCCAATCGAGCCATTCGTCTGTCTGAATTGGCTGGCTGGGTGGCGATATGTTCTGTTTTTGTGTTGTGAGGGCGTGGGGTGGGGGGGATGGGCAGACAGATGAAAGAGACAAGGCAGGACTTCTCTCCCGGAAACGGCTTTTGGAAAAGGACAAAAATCAGGCAAAGGCCAACGGACGAAGGGGCCAGGGAACACGTTTCAATGTCCTGTTCATAATATAACTGACCACGTCTCAAGGGGGCGGCATGGTCCCTGAAGCGTTTTCCATTCCGAAAGGCAATTGGACAATGACCCTTCCCTCTTGCTGAACTTGAAGGCACTACGTTGACGTGGCTCTTTCTCGATTGCTATTTCAAAAGAAGCGAAGACACATTGTAATCGAAAACCAATGGTAAATATCACGATCAGAAGCAAGTAGCAGGGAAGATGGATTCATCAAACCAAATGCTTAGCAGCCACACACACCCAGGAAATGAGTGCCCGGTGAGCAGCAGCATCTTTCAGGGACGCTTCTTGCACACATCGTTGTGTGGGCGGAGAGGCTGCAAGTTCAAACTCTTTGAAACAGAGTTGACCTCAGGCTAAGACAGCAGGCACAGGTAGCCCTGTGTGATACTAGCCGAGACTCGCCTCTGATGGGAAAGTCACTGAGCTCTGCAAGGTCATAGTCAAGGTCCTACCTTGACTACAGAGAAAACATCTCAAGGCCACGCAGTGATTAGAAGGAGAACGAATTCTTGGCAGGAAGGTATAAAAATGCTTTCCGCGCATCTCATTGGCTGGGGAGCCCATTGCTCATACCCAAGTGCTTTGAGGTCTGTGGATGAAAGGTGCTTGTAAATACCATACCTTTAATGACAGTTAACTTTTAAAAATTTCAGAGTTAATTACACGAATGTCACGAAACAATATGTGCATAAATTGCTGAATGAGAAACTAATTTGCCAAGAGAAACACTTTCACCGAAGCCACAATAAAATGATCCGAAAGAAAATAAAACAAAACAAAAAAACAACCCCCACCACATCAAGCATAAGCCTTCTGGAAAGAGGAAAAGGATCCAGAACTGGGAGGCAGAGGTTGCTTCAAAGATACAGAAAAAAGTATATGTCAGTGACCGTCACAGCTTGTTCTGGGTCCGGCATCCTGTTCGGAGCCTCCATCCAGCTGTGTGCGGAGCAAACAACTGAGACCTGCTTACTTGTCCTCTCTCTGGCCATCTCACTCACGTTTGAGGTTCTGCTAGAGGGAGAGGGGGAGGCAGGAGCACTTCGGGCACAGTGTTCTTTCTCTCACCTAGAGAATTAGGGGCTCTTCTATCATTAGCTCTGATGGCCCTTCAACTCCGCACCACATTTCAGATGCGGTTGAGAGGAGCATGAATCAAGCCCAGGGTGTGCTCCCAGTGGCAGTGGGAGGGCAGACAAGCCAGAGAAGGGAGTGCGAGGAAGCAGGCTGAGAGGGGAAAGTGCTCCCTGGCGGTGCGCCCTGGAAGGAGAGAGAGCTTGCCCTTTTCATCGTGTTCTTCCTGGGCTCAGCAGCCACCACTCAGAGATCAGTCGGACTGGACACTCCTTCCCAGGTTCCAGGAAGCCCAGCAGAGCAGCAGCTCTCATGGAGAACTTGGGCTGCAGGTAGGTGTCTGGTGAAGAATTCCAAGGCTGCTCTCTTCCCAAGTGAAAGGGACACCTTTTCCTGCCGGTAGCCACTGCTGGGGGAGCCTGTCCTGTGTGTGTCTCTTGGGTTGAATCTGGTGGAGAGCTTTAGCTCCTGTAGTCCCACAGACCCCAGTGTGAATCCTACTGGGATCTTATCCTTCCTCCACCCACCACTGCTATCAAGTCAATTCTGACTCATGGTCACCCTAAGGCTCTTCGGGCTGTAAGTCTTAAGGGCTGCAGACAGTCTCATAAACCAAGCAGATCAAGGGCTCTAGCATCTCAGGCTTCGGTTCCTTCAGCTGTCCCAAAGAGAATCTGGATCACTGATGGAGTCCTCGCCATATGCACAGCTCTGCCATGGGCCCTGGAGGGAAAAGGAGGCCTAAGGCCTGCTGCTTGCTTAACAGAGCTGAGGACTCAGGTGCCCATAGGTTATTCACCACCCGCTGGCTCTCCGAACAAGAAGTAGGTCCGTTCCGCATATTGCCTCTATGACGAGGGTCACGTTGAACCTCAGTCTCCTCTTCTGTAAAATGGGAGTAAGAAAGAATGTTTCATTACAGGGCTGTTTGTAGTTTCAGAAAACTTGAAACACCCCAATCAGTGGATTACTACTCACCCAACAGAACGATTGCAAAGCATTGTTAATGACATGCAAAAGTGCTTATGACATTGGATGTCATTTCTAGAATTTCTGCTGAATCTTTTTAATATTGGCTTGATGGTTGGCATGTTAGAGTCTCTTCCTCCTTTTATTTCTGGAAACATATATTTTGTTCTGCCCAAAGAGCTGAAGTTTTCATAGATCTGATCTTGTTATCTGGGGTTTTTTTTTTTTAAGTGCCTTGAGAGGTCATTTCTTTCTGCATTTTAGGATTTTTGAATGGGAGCACATGCTGTTTGGAACTTTGTCTATAAGGATCCTTTGAGGCCTAGGTTGAGGGGTCCCCTAGAGAAGGCATCTCTGCGCTTTGGCGCCAGAAAGCACGATGCACTGGAAACAACAGTAAGCAAAATTCTTAGCTTGAGGTTTTTGTGTTACTCAGACTTGTGGATTCTGACTACTAACTCCCCTGAGGATCACCTTAAGGTTATAAAAGCTCAGGGGAAGCTTTAATTTTCCTCTCCTTATCACAGTCAAGATATGAGAAAGGTGTTTTCCTTGCCATCTCATTGTGTGGGTGTGTGTGTAAGGTGCATATTTGTAGTTCACCTCTTCATTGTGTCTTGGGCAATGTCAGAAGACCTCATAGAAGTCTTTCATTCCTGGATGTAAGGGATATCTTCTGGTAAACCTCTAGGATACCTTATGATACAAAGCAACCAAAGATGTGGTTTATAAGTATGAGAGAAGTATAGGGCATTATGTTTTGAAAATATCCAAACTGCACTGTAAGATTAAAATGATCTCCTTAATTAGTCTGTCATATTTGTTAAATTATCAGCTGTATGGATCTAAATTTTATTAAGCCTGTTTTCCCTGCTGTCAAACAGGGGTATCAGACCCGGTGTAATTCAGGGTAGGTGAGAGAATTGAGAACAGCATCAGGCCAAAGGTGAAGGTGGGACACACTTCCTCTCTGCAACCCCTTTTTACCCATTCTGACACCTTTTGTCCCTCCCTTGACACACTCTACTTCTCTAGTCGATTTGATAGTTTGTTGCAATAGGTCTTGCAGAACTCACAGACCAAACTCCCCATTATGCTATTGATTTAGGGAAGTAACTGGTTACACTTGAGAAACAGGATAAATCTGGAAGTAACAGAAACAATTTAGGATACAATTCTTTGACTAAGACAGCTTCTTCCAGACTACGGCTGCAGGCATATTTCTGCCACTGAACTCTGCTAAGGCCTAGCATTTGCCCTGCTTGCAAAGTGTTACAGTGTTTTAGCTTGTTGATAAAACCCTGGAGGCACCCAACTCTGCCAAGAACACTTCTACCTCAAGGCACTCAGCTCTTTGCTCTGTGAGTCAGCAAACCCACAACAGCTATCTGCTGGTCACATGCGGCTACCTTCTTACACTGCTGCTCTCTGACTTAGACTGCCCCCTGTGCTACAGCTCTATTTCCTGAGCCTAGGAGGTTCTCAACACGGAGACCCTGGGTTCAGAAGATGAGCTCTGTTCCACTCTTGGCTCTTCTTGATGGTAATGGGGTTCTCTGTCAACTTTTGGCATTGGCTCTTTTTAAGATTAGTGGGATGGCTAAACTGACCCATCATTTTGGTGCTACAGGTAACTTATTTTTATAGCCCCACTCAATTATTTTACCAAAGTAATAAGACTATGGCTAGAAGGACCACATAAAACAATTCAGGGAGGGCATAAGATATCTGGTGGGGCTTAATCAAGGGCAATGTAGCTGAGAGGAATTACGGAAACCTGAATGAAGGCCAAACATGATAGTGGGACAAGAGGAAAGTAAAAGGAAATAGAGGAAAGAACTAGGAGGCAAAGGTTATTTATAGAGGTCTGAATACAAGCATGTACATATGTAAATATATTTATATATAATGATAGGAATATATATAAGTGTGTGTGTGTGTGTGTGTGTGTGTGTGTGTGTGTGTTATTAAGGTAGAGGATAAACCTCTACTCAAGGTAGCGGATAGACCTCAACACAAGAACACTTTGTTCTAATAATGGCACTCTGTGATGTTTACCTTCCCTGACACGATTGCTGAAGACAAAATGGGTGCATTAGCAAATTTGATGAAGAAAGCTGATGGTGCCTGGCTATCAAAAGATATAGCATCTGGGGTCTTAAAAGCTTGAATATAAACAAGCTGCCCTTTAGCTGAGAAGTAACAAAACCCATATGGAAGAAGCACATCAGCCTGTGTGACCATGAGGTGTTGATGGGATCAGGTATCAGGCATCAAAGACCCAGAACAAAAAATCATATGCATGTGAATTAGGGGAAGGGCAGAGTGGAGACCCAAAGTCCATCTGTAGACAATTGGGCATCCCCTTACAGAAGGGCCACAAGCCGGTTGGGGTGCAGTATAGCACCAATGAAACATACAACTTTCCTCTAGGTCTTTAATGCTCCACCCCCCGGTCGTCGTCCCCCCCCCACTATCATGACCTCAATTCTACCTTACAAATTCAGCTAGACCAGAGCCTGTACACTGGTACAGATAAGAGCTGGAAACACAGGGAATCCAGGACAGCTACACCTCCCCTCCCCCCAGGACCAAAAATGAGATTAGTGATACCAAGGTGCGGGGAGAAAGGGGGGACTGATCACAGTGATCTACATATAACTCCTCTGAGGGGGACAGACAACAGAAAAGTGGGAGACAGCGGTCAGTGTAAGGCATGAAAAAACAATTATGAATTATCAAGGGTTCATGAGGGAGGAAGGTGGGGGAGGGGAAAATGAGCTGATAGCAAGGGCTCAAGTCAAAAGGAAATGTTTTGAAAATGATGATGGCAACAAATGTACAAATGTACTTGACACAATGGATGTATGTATGGATTGTGATAAGAGCTGTAAGAGCCCCTAATAAAATGATAATAAATTAAAACAATTCCGTGCACTTCACCTTTGGTCTATTGTTTGATGGTGGGATGATAGGGATGAGTACAATCCCAATGGGGACCAAAAACCACCAAAGGAGATCCCTGCTTCCCAAAGTAGTAGCAATCTAGGAATGCCTTTATCTTCCGAGTTACTACTTCCCAGTGTGGACTCCTGGGGCATCCTATGTGGCCTGATGTGTGCCCGGAACTCCCTCCTGAGTCTGAAGTTGTTGCTTATGAGAAAGGGAGCTAGGGAGAGGAAAAGGAAGGATGTGGGGTCAAATAGGAAATAACCTTTTCTTGATAGTTTGTACTTGACTTCAAAGATTGTAACCCTTTTAGGCAGCAGTGTGGGGGCCGAGTTTTTAACCATCTAAACTGCATTTGTTTGGCTTACAGTTTTGATTAGTATTTGGAAATACTTGTTGGATCTCAAAAACCCACCCAGCAGGGAGCAGCAAACCAATGGAACTGATAAGGAAGAGCATGGATGATAAACCTGAGAAGACACACACTATGGGGCAACTGGGGATCACCTGGGCCATTTTTTTCTTAATGCGGGAATGAAGGTCTTGTGATTTTTTTCCCCCCTCCAGATCAAAAACTAACACTTTAATGGAAATTTCATGGCTTTTAAAGTGTTAGCCACTATTTTCATATTATATTTTGTGAAAAATTCTTCCTTTATTCTTTTTTTAATTAAAAGATAATTTTATTGGGGGCTTTTGCAACTCATTATAATCCATACATCAGTTCTATCAGGCATATTTGTACCTATGTTGCCATCATTCGTTTCTAGAAAATTTCTTTTGAGCCCTTGATATCAGCTCCTCTTTTTATCCCCCTCCCCACCTCGTGATCCCTTGATAGTCTAAATTATTATTATTTTCATATCTCACACTGACCGCTGTCTCCCTTCCCCCATAGTTTCTGTTGTTCTCCCTGGAGGGGTGCGTGTGGTTGTGCTGATCATTCTGATTGGTTCCCCCATTCTCCTCACCCCCCTTCTCCCTACCCTTCTGGTATCGGTGCTCCCTTTCGTGTTCCTGGATTCTGTGGGTTGGGAGCTTTTATCTCTTATCTGAACCTGTGTCCGTGCTCAGATCGAGTCCAAAGTGAGAGGCAGCACCGGTGGTCATGAGAGTGAGGGGTGAGGAAGTCTCAAGGAACCAGAGGAATATTGTGTTTCACCGGTGCTTTACTGCGCCCTGGTTGACTCATCCCTTCCCTGTGACCCTCAGGTAAGAATATGCTCAGACCTATCTCCATCTTTTAAGAGAAGACAAAGAAAGCCCATCTTTGGGGTGGATCCCTTTCCCAAGGTGGCAGCTTGCAACGTTGGTGTTGGATCTCACTGTGGATGGGTAACCAACTGGAAAGGATCCATTAGGCCCTTCGCTTGAGCAAGTTTGCACACAAAGCAGGAGAGAGAGGAACTGCAAGGTCCCTCCCGTAGAAGTCTTAGTGGGCCGAGAGGAGGAATCGGGAGGAGTAGAGGTGAAGGTCTCATTACCCTGAGTTGAGTGAGTCACGGGCCAGAAAGCCTTTAGGTCCATACTTGGATAAAAAAGAACAAGGAGAACTTTGCTCTTTTCGGGTGCTGTTAACTCCAGATAAATGAGCCCTGGTGATGGCTTTCTACTCCCGGAAAGAGTTATCATCTTTGAAACCCACCAGGGCAGTTCTACCCAGCCCCCTAGGGCTGCGATGTGTCGGCAACAAGTCTCAATGGTGGTGAGTTTGGATTTTAGTAACTCCAAATACGAACCTTTGGGATGACTCTTTCCATAGGTCATTCATAGGAGAAGGTGAAAGTATGTTTTCAGAAGGAACGTGGGATACCCTGGAAATACATCTATGAAGTTCATCCTTTGAACGGTAGACATTTTAAAAATACCTCATTACATAAAATAAGTGGAAGCTGTGATTGTGACTGGTGGTGACTGTCTAGCCAGCCCCTGCTGAGAACGACCCCATCCACGGGCAACATTCCCGTGCCATCCCATAGTCTATTATGGATCTGAACATGGTGAACCACTGGGCTTCCATTGATTTTCATAGCAGATCACTGGATATTTTTTCCTAGTCCATGAGTTTGGAAGCTCTGCTGTAACCTGTTCACTATCATGGAAGCCTTCACCGATAGACAGGCGGTAACCATGCAGGAGGTGCATTGGCCAGGAATTGAACCTCCACTGCCCCTGATATGAAAACTACTTATAGATGATTCTTCCCACGTCATGGATTAAACAGACCTCTACATTTCCACCAGGCAGCATTGCTTGATCTTGTTTGTTACTTTCCTTTAAAAACATTTTATAGCAGTCATGCTGGATGACTGTTCCACTAAGCTCTGAACATGAGAGATCAAGGGTTACTATGAATCTGCTCAAGACCCTCCGATGTGAGGCAAATGGGACGACCCCTCACCCCTATTGGTAAGTGAATGCTCCCCCTTCCTTATGAGCATATTGCAACATCTCCTTTCCATTTCTTCCGAAGGACTGGTTTTTCAACCTCCGGGAAGAAGAGAAATCCAGACCGCCATGACGGAGAGCCCCTGGAAGTGCATAAGAAACTGCCCTCCAGCGCCGGAGAAGACCGAGCCATGCTCCTGGGGTTTGCCATGATGGCGCTCTCAGTCCTGATGTTCTTCTTGCTTGGAATAAACATCCTGAAGCCGTTCATGCTCAGGTACGAGACAGAGGGAAAAGATCCATTGTTTCCAATTCAAACAGACACAGGCTCAGTGGTGAAGTAGGGGAAACTTGTTTTTGTCTCTGTAACCTCAGCGCTCCTGACTGTGGTCTGGACACCGCTGGACATAATCACCTATGCCGCTCAGGGATGGTGTGGACAGCCGGATGTGTGTGGGGCACGGGTTTTGTTGTTGGGTGTCCTGGTGTTGGCTGCAACCCATAGTCAACAGAATGGCTGTGCTTGAGCTCCAAGTTGTGGCCGCTGTGCCGGTCTATCTCGGTGAGGGTCTCCTTTCCCCTGATCCTCTGCTTGACCAGGCGTGATGCCTTGTTCTGTGGACTGGAGTTCCCTGGTGCCCTGTCCAAAGTGTATCCAAAATATGTTCTAAGCAGCAGTCTGACTGTGCCTTTTAGCCAAGACAGCGCTTTGTTCCTTTTGTTGGTGTGTGAGAATTTCGACATTCGTTACCAACACCAACTGAAATGAATCAGTTCTTCCGTCTGCCTATTGTCCTGGAGCTTTGGGGCCTCGGGACGGGAGGGGTTACTGATTGGGCTGCTAAACTCAAGGGCAGCATTGAGGGAAGAAGACTCGGCTTTCTATTCCTCTAGAGAGTTCCAGTCTCGGAACCCACAGGGGCAGTTCTACTCCGCTGACAGGGCTGCTATGAGTCAGAATTGACTCGATGGCAGTGAGTTTGGTTTTAATTTTTTATTAATTTTCGAGCTTCCACATACATGTGAGGCAATGAAACCCCATGGGGTGGACCAGGAGCACCTGAGTCCTCAAAGTGACACAATTGTTTTTTGAAATCACTTGAACAAATCCTTGTGCAGCAGATTTTCTCAATGCAATACGATATCAGATTTCTGGACTGCGGTTTCCATGGGCAATGATTATGGATCCAAGTGAAATGAAATCACTGACAACTTCATTCGTTTCCCTGTTTCTTATGATGTGTATTGGTCCAGTTGTGAGGGCTTTAATTTGTGTATGTTGAAGTTAATCCTGTAGTGAGTATTTTACATCTTCACTTTTGGGAAGCAAAGTTGTTAGAGTCTTCCTTCAATCCTAATGCTGCATTTTCCCTCATAGAGCCCAAGGTTTCCAATTATTTGCTGCACACACACATTAAGCATGGGGAAATAACACAACCCAAATGCACAGCTTTCTTGCTTTTAATCCAGTTGGCATCTCCTTGGTCTGGCTCAATGGTGCCTCTTGCTCGATGCACAGATTCCTCACTAACAAAATTCAGTGTTCTGAAAGTCCTGTCTCCCTCCCCCGCCCCCTTGTTATCCATCGTTTGTTAAGGGTCACACCGTTCAATGCCTATTCTGAAAGTCCCGTTTTTGATTAATTTATATAAAATTTTAATAAATCATTTTATTGGGGGCTCTTACAACAATCCACATATCAATTGTATCAAGCACATTTGTGCATATGTTGCCATTATAATTTATAAAACTTATTCTTTCTACTTCAGCCCTTGACATCAGCTCCTCTTCCCCTACCCCTCCCTCCCTGCCTCCGACCTTCATGAGCCCTTCACAATTTAGAAATTATTTTTATTTTCATATTTTGCACTATCTGCTGTTTCCCTTCACCCACGTTTCTGTTGTTAGTCCCCCTGTGGGGGTGGGGGGCGTGGGTCTATGTTGATAGTTGCGATTGGTTCCCCTTTCTTCCCCCTCCCCTCATGGATCTCTACTCTCATTATTGGTCCTGAGGGGTTTATCTCTCCTGGATTCTGTGGTTCAAGAGCTCTTTTCTGTATCAGTGTACATGCCCTGGTCTAGCCAGACTTGTAAGATAGAACTGGGGTCATGATAGTGGGGGCAGAGGGCAGGTGGAGGAAGCATTAAAGAACTAGAGGAATGTTGTGTGTTTCATTGGAAAGTCCCATTTCTTATATGTTGTCCATAAGCATGTTATGATTTACACAGTTTAATGTCTTTTCACAATCAATAGAACACAAGCAACCATCTTTCTGGTATTCTCTGCTTTCATCCATGATCTATCTGATCTCAATAGTGATACTTTTTTTTTTTTTTAAAGCAAAAAAGGTCCATGTAGAAATTGCCTTAAATATTCTTTCCACATCCTTTTCTGAATCTAGCTTGAATTTCTCCCTGTCTATGCACAGCTGCAACTGTTTTTGAACTTTCTTTGGCAAAATTTTACTTACATGTCATATTAATGATATTGTGTAATAATTTCTGCACTCTGTTGGGTTACTTTTCTTTAGAAGGGGCACAGATGTGGATCTCCTCCAGTTGTCTGGTCAGGTGTTCCAAACTCCAAACTCAATGCCATCGAGTACACTCTGACTCATACTGACCCTGTAGGACAGAGTAGAGCTACCCCCTTTGGATTTCTGAGGCTATGAATCTTTACAAGAGTAGAAAGCCTCATCTTTCTCTCTCAGAGAGGCTGGTGGGTTCGAAATGGTGGCCTTGTGGTTAGCTGTGAGTAATGTATTCCTGGCCGGGGTTCTTTTTGGCCAGGTAGCTGTCTTCCAAATTTCTGGACATGGACAAGTGAGTGCTTCCATTACTGCCCAAGTTTCCATTGGTATCCTGTCAATCCTTGGAGCTTTCTTTTTAAGCCATGCCTTCAGTTCAGCTTGAACTTCTTCCTTCAATACCATTAGTTCTTGATCATATGCTACCTTTTGAAATTGTTGAATGCTGAATAATTCTTTTGATATAGTGCCTTTATGTAATTCTTTAATCTTCTTTTGATGTTTCCTGCATCATTCAATATTTTGTCCTTAGAATTCTTCAATATTGCAACTCTAGACTTGAATTTTTTTTTCAGTTTGAGAAATGCTGAATGTGATATTTTGGTCTTCTGATTCCAGGTCTTTACATATTTTCATTATAATATTTTACTTTGTCTTTATCAACTGCCCTTTGAAATGTGCTGTTTAGCTCTTTGACATTATCATGTCGTCCATTTGCCTTAGCTACTCTATGATTAAGAGTAAGTTTTAGAGTCTCTTCTGAGATCCACTTTAACCTTTTCTTTTTTTGTCTTTCTAATGACATTTTCCTTTCTTTATATATGACGTCCTTGATGTCATTCCACAACAACTCTGGTCTTTGGTCTTCAGTGTTCCACGTGTCAAATCTATTTGCTGGCTGCTTGGCCATGGGCAGGGGAGAAAGGCCTCAGGAGAGAGACAGAGCTTTCTATTCCATTAAAGAGTTATAGTGTCATAAACTCACAGGGGGAAGGTCTACCATGTCCTGGAAAGTCACTATGAGTCAGCACCAACTCAATAGCAGTGGGTTTTTTTTTTTGGGGGGGGGCATGGGTTTCCCACCCTCCCCCCTGCACAGAAACAGAAAAAAGATCCGCTAGGTGGAACTTTCATAGTACACATTTATTCCACTAGGTGAGCATTGAGCAACTCGCTCTGTGTTAGGGCACCCTATGGCATCACCTGTGAAGGTTCTCTCTGGTCACAGTGAACAAAGAGGGACATGAAAGGAAAGTGATTTTACCACGTAGAAGACGCGAAGAAAAAAAAAGAGGGAGGTGCTGTCAGCCATCCAAATGGATGAGTTTGACAAATGTTTCCAAGAATGGAATCACAGATATGACAAATGTATTAAGTATAATGGAGAGTACTTTGAAGGTGATAAAGTTGTTTTGTAAAAAAAATTTAAATACATAGCTTTGAAAAAAATTATGTTTTGGGGGAGTAACCCCTTCTATATACACTATGATATATAGTATATATATGCTATATATACATATATATAGTAAATGAGATTTAATGATGAAATTAACTAAAAGGAAAAGGACATTGATATCGATTGAGAAATCATTATTATAAATATTTATTGTTCAATAGCCATTGTAAAACTTAAAAAACTCAGACTAAAAAACCTTTTTATTTTGACTGTGTTCACATAGAACCCTGAACCCTTCCCTGGTTATCTACATGTTAAAGGAAGAAGGTATGCCCTACATGAGCACTTAATTTGTGAGTCGTGTGTTGGAGTATTTTTAAGGTGTGTGTGTGAATGTCTCACTTTTGTCCTACTTCTGCCTGCACTTTTTTTTCTACATGGACAGTTTACTGACACTGATTCCATATTTCATGTGTCACCATTCTTGCTACCTTTCCTCCTGCCTCCACTCTTCTAAGCCTTTCAAGCAACGGTTTGATTAAAGGAGCTCAGCGAATGCCTCAAAGCAGTTAAGTAAGTTCTTCTCTTTTTCTAGCATGGCAATTTTTGCAAGTTGACTTTTTCTTCACGAAAGGCTATAGATGGCAAGGGTAACTCGTCCCTTTCCCCATTCCCTCCTGGTCCAATTAAATGATGAGTTTCATCACAGTTATGGGGAAATCCGCACACCAAATACTGCTGAAAGGACGTGCTCCTTTTTTAAAGCCTTAAGGGTAGCTCTGGGCCTGAAAAAAATAAAAAGAAAGAAATCCTACTCTCTACCGGGCTGTTCCTGAACTCTTCGAGGAAGAGTCAGATCATGGTCCAGTAGTTGGTCAGGAATGAAACACAATTCTAACACCGATAAACAGGCAACGGTGTGAAAATAGTGTTTGAAATACTATGTCAATGGACATCCCTTGCAGAGGGGTAGTGGGGAGATGAGTCACTCAGGGTTCAGTGTAGCAATAATGAAACTCACAACCTTCCTCTAGTTCTTAAATGCTTCCTCCCCTCAACTATCATGAACCCAATTCTGCCTTGCAAACCTGGTTAGACCAGAGGATGCACAGCGGTACAGATGGGAACTGGAAACACAGGGAATCAGGAGCAGCGGTGAGAGTGGCGATACCAGGAGGGAAGGAGGGGTTACAAGGGGGAATCAATCACAAGGATCTACATATAACCTCCTCTCTTGGGGATGGGCAACAAAAGGGTGGGTGAAGGGAGACACTGGGCAGTGTAAGATAAAATAATCATTTATAAATTATTAAGGGTTCATGAGGGAGGGAGGAGTTGGGAGGGAGGGAGAAGGGAAAAAGGAAAATGAGAAGCTGATTCCAGGAACCCAAGCGGAAAGCGAATTTTGAGAATGAGGGCAACAAATGTATAAGTGTGCTTTACACAATTGATGTATGTATGGTGATAAGCGTTGTATGAGCCCCAATAAAATGATAAAAAAAAAGACTTCAGGCTAAAAACTATGAAACATTGTTGAATAAAATAAAAGAAAACCTAAAAAAAAGAAAGGAAGAAATACTATGTCAAATACTGCTTAAATGAGGGTTGAAAAAAAGCAATTAATTTGGTGGGAAAGCAGTCCAGTAGGGAAAAGTCTATGCCCTGCTAAGGCAAGTGTTTTTTTTTTTCACCTTATTTTCCAATTTTACTTGCTCAAGTGATTGGCCCTATCAAATGGTTTTTATGTCTGAGCCATGATATTATGTTAAACCCCACAGTGGATGCCAAGTTTGTTTTATTAATGAAGCTGGTTAGTTATGGTCCAGCTTCTTAAATGAGTGTGTGGCATGAACCTAGGTAAACAATGGTTTCCGAACATTCAGGGTTTAGAACCTGCGAGTCAAATTTCTCTTTACAGGCCCAGAAAAGAAAGGCCGGGCCCCACCTGCCCGTGTATGTGCTGGCTAGGAAGAGCTGGCCCAGCTGATCTAACCCAAAGCGCTTCTTCTCCCTTTCATTTTTATCTTGTTTGGGCTTGTTCTCTAAATATCTATCTATATCTATATAGCTTCCACAAGTTCATGGACACTTTTTATTATCTTTTAAAAGACAATGGGATGTTTCCCCCTGAGCTGTGTTTGGGCTTGTTCTCTCTCTCTATATATATATAGCTTCCACAAGTTCACGGAAACTTTTAATTACCTTTTAAAAGACAATGGGACGTTTCCCCAAGCTTTGTGAAACTCCCTGGTACATCCATTTTCCTCCCGTAGATGTTCGGGGGCAATAGTTCACTTGTTCCTTTCAGGGTGCCTGGTGTAGCCTGTGCAAATTCTCAAGGCCTATCTTCCAGTTAAACTTTAATTCAGCATAACACCTTTTGAGTGAGGACCTGCCAGGTGAGAGACAGGTATGCTTTCAGGAGCATCAGGATACGTAAGCAAGATGCAGCCTCTTACTTCCAGTGGGTCTTCAACCAGTTGCTATGGCGCTGATTCCAACCCCAATGGTCAGAGGAGACCTGTGGTCTGGGGTTGTTCATTGATGGCACACATGTGGTAAGTATGCTAATAAGATCCCATAACGCTTGGGAAGTAGAGTAAGTACCTGGGGCTGTACCTTGTCACTTGCACTTCAGCAGGCAGGCTACGCTGAGTAAAGGTTACATCGCAGTTGGATTGCTTCCACTAGCACATTTTAATCCCGTCAAGCCAATGGGGGTATCTTTAGCGTGAGTGGTGCTGACTTTTGATGACTACAGTTTCTGAGGGTCATCTGACTGAAAGCAGGGGTGAGCAATGCGGGGCTGTATACCAAAAACTCTTCCGCCTGTCAGTTTCTGAGACTGTAACTGTGAGTGTCAGCGGAGAGCCACGCCTTTCTTCTGCGGAGCTGGCTGTGCTTTTGAAAGGCTGACCTTTCCGTTAGCAGCTCAATAGGTCAGCATAAAGTCACCAGGGCTCCTTGATCTGTTACCATCCTAAGCAAAATCTGGAACTTTGAAATAGAAAAATACAAATGCCTCAGGCTTTCTAAGTTCTAGAAAACCTAGAGAACTAAGTTTTCTAGAAGGTGAAGTTTTTTTCCCCCTTCCTCCCCATATTTAAGTACTCAGAGAGAAGAATCGAACTGCACTGTTATCCGCACACACATCATGGAAGACTGGCTGGACTGCACTTCCACCTGTGGAGTGACCTGCCATGGGCAGGGGCAGTACCCCTGTCTCCAGGTGTTTGTGAACCTCACCCACTCAGGTCAGAAAGCTCTGCTACATTATAATGACCAGGCGCTACAGATCAACGCCAAGGTAATGTGATGTCGGTTGTTAGTAAGGGGTCAGAAATACAACAATCATTCTTTGCCAAGCTGTCTGCTCAGCAGGGTGCAGCCCCCAAGGCCGTTTCTAATGCCAGAGGTCTTTCCTTGTGATGAACATCCCCCCCTCCCCGCCCCCACCACCGGAAACCAGTGGCCAAATCAAGACAATGAAGTTAAAAGCATTCTTGAAGGAAAAATTAGGCATGAAGAAAGGAGCGGAATTAGTCCAATTTCACAAATTCGTGCCAGACATTGACAGGCTGAGGCCCTGAGCAGCTTCATTAGAAGACAGCCTTTGTTTCCACATCGATGGAAATGTTACAATGTACTGACCATGAGTCAAGACCACACGCCCTGTCTGCTGTCCATTTTGACCCCTAGCCACCCTACAGGACAGAGTAGAATTGCCCCTGTGGGTTTCCGAGGCTATACACATTTACCGGAGCAGACAGCCTCATCTTTATCCTGTGGAGCAACACAACATATGCCACTAGAACCCTTAATGTATACACAAGCAATGTTTCTAATCAAACAGATCTGAGGATTTATTTAAAATGGTCAGTTTCTTTAAAAAAAATCACTTTATTGGGGGCTCATACAACTCTTGTCCATACATACATCAATTGTATAAAGCACATTTGTATATTCATTACCCTCGTCATTCTCAAAACATTTGCTCTCCAAGTAAGCCCCTGGTATCAGCTCATTTTCTCCCCTCCCTCCCTGTTCCCTCACGAACCCTTAAAAATTTATAAATTATTTTGTCATATCTTAAACTGTCCAATGTCTCTCTTCACCCACTTTTCTGTTGTCCATCCCTCAGAGAGGAGGTTATATGTATATCCCTGTAATTGGTTCCCCCTTTCCACCCCACCCTCCCTCCACTCTCCCGGTATCACCACTCTCAGCACTGGTCCTGAAGGGATCATCTGTCCTGGATTCCCTGTGTTTCCAGTTCCTATCTGTACTAGTGTACATCCTCTGGTCTAGCCAGATTTGTAAAGTGGAACTGGGATCATGATAGTGGGGAGGAGGAAGCATTTAGGAACTCGAAGAAAGTTGTATGTTTCATCATTGCTACATTGCTTTATACAATTGAACGTATGTATGGATTGTGATAAGAGTTGTATGAGCCCCCAACAAAATGATTAAAAAAAATTAAGTTTAAAATTCCATTTTAAAATAATGTAAGTCTTTAGAAGGTTACAGAGTTGCATATGTAGGAGAAATGCATTTACTTACTGTAGCTTCTATAGATTAAGCATAAGGGTAAAAAATGAATATAACTCATTGTTTCTTATTGTGTTATTTTGAGTGTAGCTGTGCATTGTACATATTCAGCTTAAATAAAACCCAAATTTTCCTGTAAAAAAAAGGTCAGTTTCACTGTTATTCAGTTGACTTGTAGACTTAAAATTCTCATTTATGCCCAATGATAAAATTACGTCAGATTCTTTGACAAGGCACATTTTGTTGTCTTTAATTAAACATTTCAATGGGATGATTCCTGTTCTCTATTTTGCATGTGATCATTGTTAAGGTCTCAAACATTTCTGTAGGCCCTTGGCACAGTGCCCACATTGTCTCGTGGATATGGTCGTAAACTAAGGTGACCAGATTTTAACACTGGTGAAGCGGGACACCATAGATAAAACTCATATCCTGGCAAAGTAGCCACATGGCAGCCGAAAACCGTATACCCTAACTTGTCATGCATTCTTTCCAAAAACCGGGACTTTTTAAAAATGCCACGGGATGCAGGAAAAATTGTTAAAAATTGGGACTGTCCCACCAAAAGCGGGACATCTGGTCACCTAATCATAAACTCTTTTGGAAAATAAAAAACAAAAGCAAAGGCCACCAGTTTCTAGAGGTCTCTTATTCCCCATTGATTTTGACCTTGTGGGACCACGGCCCAGGTAGGGCTGCCTTCTGTGGTCTAGGGCAAAAAGCTTCAAAGTGCTCTCCTTTCGGGAGAGAGCTTGCTACAGGGGATGGAGGCAACGACATCAGGGGCATTCATTGGTTTTGGAAGCACAAAATGGGACTCAGTACTTACACTTGCTGGATGGATTCCTTAGGTTACTGTCTAGGAAGCATATTCATTAGGTTACTGTCCAGGAAGAGGTCCTGAGGCATGGTCCTTAGGCTATTGGTTGCTGCCTGTTCTGAAATGGCATCTCGCATCGTGCGCTAAGCATCCCTTCCCATATTCACGTTTACCACCCGGGATGACCATACTGCTGTGCGCTCCCCTGCCAGCCCCTCCTCAGGAGCGCTACAACAGACTTGACTCCCTGTCTGACACGGAAATAGAACCAGCTGTCCTGGAGTTGGTGATGGCCCCAGCTGTGTCAGAGTAGAATTGTGTTCCACCGAGTTTTTGATGTCTGATTTTAGAAGCTAAGGACTATTTAGCAGGTGAAGCTGTTTTCACTTTTCTTTCTTCCATAGCGGGTGGACTTGACCCTCCCACCTTCTGGTTAACAGCGAGCACATGAACTGTTTGCATGAGCCAGGGAGTCCTCTGAGACAGCTGCCTCAGAATGAACAATGCTCAGTTGCTTGGTGCTGGTGACCTTTATCTTTCTATCTCCTCCATATTCCTAGTGCTTTTACACACCTACGTGCCACGGAGATAGGGATGACTTGCACAACAGTGCTCTGGACATAAAAGAATTCTTCGATCACAAGAATGGAACCCCCTTTCCATGCTTCTACAGTCCGGACAGCCAACTGGAAGATGTGGTTCTCAGAAGAAAGCACGACCAGATGGTGATCTTCCACTGTTTGTTTTGGCCCTCACTGACTCTGCTGGGTGGCGCCCTGATTGTTGGCATGGTGAGACTGACACAGCACCTGTCCCTACTGTGCCAAAAGGAACGCACTGCAGTCAGAGAGGAGGTAGGTGACCACGTGCCCTTTACAGAACAGCATCATTTCCTACTGTGTGGCGTGAGGAGGAGCAGAGGACGGGACAGAGAGATCGTGAGATGGTGGCCAAATTAGAGCCTTGTCTTTTAGGTGCCCTGTCCGTAGTTCAGGAAGGAACTATGCCTGCCCGCAAATAAATCCTATCGAGGGTAAATAAAAGATACAGTTTTCGTATGGGAAAGAATTTTTAGGATCTCATTATGTATTCTATTATCTCAAGGCATTCATGCAAACTTACCATCTTCCAACTCCAAACCTCTTTCCACGTGAGCTAAAGGAGTTCTCCCCCCCCC